GCCATGTCTGTTCCCTTCACTATCACAGAGGAGGCCAAAGGTAGATTTTCTGCCGAGATGCAGGGCCTCTAAGGGGATGGAGGAGAGTCAGACATAGGTCAGCTAGTTGCTGCCGAAGGATGAGAAGCCAGGGAGAAGTGGGCGTGTGGAGGAAAGGCACAGTGCTCCTATAAAGCAGTCAAATGGCACAATGAACATTGTTGAGGTGAGGTTTGTACAAGGAACAGAGATGGGGTGGCTGAAGCATGGGACACAGAAGCAGAATGACAGAGAAGGGTGGAGGGGTGGACAAGCCCCAGATCAGCAGTTCCATAATCTATGATGAGAAGACTGAGTTCGCTCAAACCACAATGTCAGCTCAGCCATTAAAAAGAAGGAAATCTTGCCATTTGCGACAACATGGATAGACCTAGAGGGTATTATGCCAAGTGAAATAAGTCAGACAGAGAATGACAAATAGTGTATGATTTCACTTCTATGTGGAATCGAAAAAACAAAATATATAAGTAAATAAAATAGAAACAGACTCAGATAGATACAGAAAACAGGCTGACAGTTGACAGAGGAAAAAGGCTTGGGACTGGGTGAAAAAGGTGAAGGAATTAAGGAGTACAAATTGGTAGTTACAGAGTAGTCAAAAAAAATATAAAGTACAGCAGAGGGAATATAGTCAATGATATTGTAATAACTATGTACCAGGCCAGGTGGATATTTGAAATATTGTGGGGACCACTTTGTAAAGTATATGATTGTGTAACCCAGCCATGGGCAAACTACGGCCCACGGGCCAGATCCGGCCCATTTGAAATGAATAAAACTAAAAAAAAAAAAGACCGTACCCTTTTATGTAATGATGTTTACTTTGAATTTATATTAGTTCACACAAACACTCCATCCATGCTTTTGTTCCGGCCCTCCGGTCCAGTTTAAGAACCCATTGTGGCCCTCGAGTCAAAAAGTTTGCCCACCCCTGTAACTAGACCACTAATAGCAGGGCCACACAACTCTCTCAGGGCACAGAGAGAAAGCTAAGGCCCAGAGATGGGATGTGAGTTCCTTATAGATGCATCACTAGTTAAGGCATCTTTACTGCTAATAAAAACAGGACTAAGGAGACGGTGGGACTGGGCTATGTAGAAAGGCACAGGCCTGCCAAGGGATAGAAAAAACCATCAAAACGGCAGCAAAGCCAAAACTCGAAAAGATTTTAAAATCCGCTCCCCGCTATCAGTTGGACATCCCCCGAGGGCTCTCAGACTGTGAGAGGGTGCAGGCCAGGCTGAGGGAATGCCACCCCCCCCTCCGCCCAGTGCACAAATTTCATGCATCGGGCCTCTAGTTGTTATATATCCCCAAACTGGGTTGACCCCTTGTAAGTGTATGACTTAGGCTGCTTACATTAAGACCCTAAGTCCTAGGTTCTCATCTCTTGGATGGAGATAATAGTATTGAATATTTAACTGAATAATATGAATATAACATAAAATTCAGACTATAACTTTATTAAATGAAATTCAGAACTTTTTGTAAAATTAATATATCTATTGCAATCTTTTTTTAAGTATACCATTACCCTTTCAAAAGAGAGGAAAAAAAACTGAAAAAATTAACTAATGCAATTCCAAGGTGACATATTAGTAACTTATGTAGCACTAAGGAAAACTGTCCCCTTGCCTGAGAGACAGCCTGGGCCAGTCAATCTGCAGGCGTTTTCCCATCTAACAGTCACAAGAACTGAGTGAGATGTATGACATATCTGTCTCCTTTCACAAATGAGGGTATGAGGCAGTTTATGAATTTGTCCAAGGACATCTATTTAGGAAGTGACAGAGTCAGAACTTGAACCAAGAGAGCCTGGAGCCCAGTTTCCTACGTATTAAAATCCTCTTTAGTGAGAAATAATATGTTTAGTAATATTATCTATACATCATATGCCCATCAAATTTTATTTATTTGGTTCTGTACTGCATTCAAATATCTGTGGTAGTAATCATGGAAGCCTGATTGTATGAACACTTTTAATAGCTTTATTAAGGTGTAATTGATACAAAATACTGAACATATTTAATGTATACAATTTGATGAGTTGGGACATGTACATGCACCATGAAAACAGAACCCTAATCAAGGTAATAAACATACCCATCACTTCCTAGAGTTTTCTTATGCCCATACTTTTTATGGTGAAAACAATGCAAAAATAAGAATAAAAGACCAAAAGGTGAATAGCATTAAAGTATTTTTTCTTTTTTTTAAAGTATTTTTTCATACATCAAAGGCATTGTGCTACAATCACTGACAAATACGTTTACAGTCATCTGAAATAAAACATGAGTGTGCACACATATGTGTAGGAAAAACAAATGATTTAATAAAGACATAGGATGATTAAACATCTCCATTTATGCTTGCTTAAGAAATGCTTTAGAGCAGGAAATACTATTCAAGTTCAAGGACTGAATGATTAAACCCACCTCAGTCTTATTTAGTCAGATGTGAAAAATACATAGTTAATTGGTAGGCAAGATCTCAATGTACCAGAATCCAATTATAGAGTCTTCAAAAATATGAGTAAAGGAAAAGTTAATGAGACATTTTTAAAGACATTACAATTTCAAGGTACTGATTTATTTTGAAAAATGGCAAGGTTAAGTTTAATTTTAATATGCTAAAATCAATTTGCTGTCTTCATTTTAGAATTTCAACTAAAAGGAATAATTCCTTATGTATATAAGAATATATATGTGAATATATATTATATATCTTATTTGGTGTACTTTTAATTAAAATTTTCTTTTGTTCTCTTTTATTTTAATACTAGAGGCCTGGTGCACAAAATTTGTGCAAGGGTAGGGTCCCTAGGCCTGGCTGGTGATCAGGGCTGATCTGTGGGGTGACTGGTGGGGCAATTGGGGGGCTCTGCTGGCACCTGCCTTGGCTGGCCTGGCACCACCCACTTGCTGGCCCCACCCCCCGCTGTGGCTGCCAGTCGGGGCCTGGGGGCTGAGAGCAGCTCCTGTGTTGAGCGTATTCCCCCTGGTGGTCAGTGTGCATCATAGCAACCGGTCATTCTGCCATTCGGTCTATTTGCATTTTAGGCTTTTATTACATAGGACTAGAGCAGTGATGGCGAACCTATGACACGCGTGTCAGAGGTGACACACGAACTCATTTTTTTGGTTGATTTTTTTTGGTAAATGGCATTTAAATATATAAAATAAATATCAAATTATAAATCTTTGTTTTACTATGGTTGCAAATATCAAAAAATTTCTATATGTGACACAGCACCAGAGTTAAGTTATGGTTTTTCAAAATGCTGACACGCCAAGCTCAAAAGGTTCGCCATCACTGGACTAGAGGCTCAGTGCACGAATTCGTGCACCAATGGGTTCCCTCCACCTGGCCTGCCATATCAGGCTCTCTGACATCCCCTGAGGGGTCCTGGATTATGAGAGGGTGCAGGCCAGGCAGAGGGACCCCACTAGTGCATGATCGGGGCCGGGGAAGAACACAGGACGTTGGCCAGCCAGGGAGGGACCACAGGAGGGCTCCAGGGCGTGTCTGGCCCATCTCGCTCAGTCCCAATCGGCCGGACCCCAGCAGTAAGCTAACCTACCAGTTGGAGCGTCTGCCCCCTGGTGGTCAGTGCATGTCATAGCGAGTGGTTGAGTGGTCTTAGCATATCACGCTTTGATTGGTTGAACAGATGACTGGACGACCGGACATTTAGCATATTAGGCTTTTATTATATAGGATTGGTCTTGGTTTACTAATTGTCAAAGAAATTTGGTCAGTTATATGCTCAATGCCCTCTGAATTATAGTAAATGAAGGGAACAATTGCTTCAAATCAACATTAATTAAAGTAAGCTTGGACATCTACTATTCCTAACAAAAATAATTGCAACCATGAATCCATACTATTGTAATAAGTATTATAGTAAGTGAATTGGTTTGATACCTCTATAGAACACTTGTTAAAATGTATTTGTTTTTTCTACAACTGAAAGTGATATATACATTTAATATTATATACTCATTATTTTAGTAAATAGAGACTTTTTTATTTTGTTGATATAATGTATCCCCTCAGTTGATCAAATGAATGTTTCAGAAAGAGACTAAACTGTCTATCTATATGAATAAAAGGGTAATATGCTAATTAGACCAGGAGACCTTCCAGGAGACCTTCTGGACATCCTTTCGGACAACGCCATGGTGGCAGGGCCGAGGCAGAAGTGGTTTGAGGTGACTAGGCCAGGAGGGGAGGGCAGCTGGAGGCAAGCAGGCTGGGGGGGGCAGTTGGGGGCTGAGCAGGCCAGCAGGGGGGGCAGTTGGGGGCGAGCAGGCCAGCAGGCAGAGTGGTTAGAGGCCATCAGGAAGGCAGGCAGATAAGCGGTTAGAAGCCAGCAGTTCCAGATTGTGAGAGGGATGTCCGACCAGCAGTCAGACATTTCTTGAGGGGTCCCAGTTTGGAGAGAGTGCAGGCCAGGCTGAGGAACACCCCCACCATGCACAAATTTCATGCACCAGCCACTAGTAGCTATATACACTGAGTGACCTGATTATTATGACCACCTGACATTTGTAGGCAAATTAGCTATAATTTCGCGCTGAAGTTGCTAGAGGGCCAGACCATTATAAATAGGGAAGCAGGTTGTTTACCACAAGAGTAGAAGTGATTTTTTTCTGAAGATATGGGTAAACAATGCGATTTAACAGCCTTTGAACGTGGGATATATTTGAATTTGAGTGGCCAGATTATTATGACTACCCATCAATACTTCGTTGGGCCACCTTTTGACTTCAATACTGCAGCAATTCTTCTTGGCATTGACTCCACGAGATGTTGAAAGGTGATGCGAGGAATCTGACACCATGCCTGATGAATAGCACTGTCCAGTTCTGTGAGATTTGATGATTGTGGAACCATCTGCCTGATGGCTCTTTTAACTTTCAAAAGTTAATTATGTGGGTTTTTTGTTTGTCTTTTCTTAGGTCTGAAAAGATAAATATGAATTTAGAATCCATTTATCGGTTAATTGAGGAAACACAAATCTTCGGGATGCAGCAGTCAGCAGTTAAACCACCTCCCGACATGGGAGCACCTGCCTCGGTCCCCAGGGACACCTGTAATTCCTATTGGCCACTTAATGGGCTACAGTCTCATGCTGCCCACAGCTTCTGTGCTCACGCGTGCAACACCAACGAATGGGATATTTGTGAAGAGCTGCGCCTGCGGGAACTTGAAGAAGTCAAGGCCAGAGCTGCTCAGATGGAGAAGACCATGCGGTGGTGGTCAGACTGCACAGCCAACTGGAGGGAAAAGTGGAGTAAAGTTCGAGCTGAGAGGAACAGTGCTAGGGAGGAAGGAAGACAACTCAGAATGAAATTAGAGATGACAGTGAAAGAATTGAGTGCACTGAAAAAGAAGCAAAGTCCGCCACATCAAAAGGAGACCTTGGAAGCTAGAGTTGCCCTGAACCAGACGTGTCCTAGTTTCATAGATGTGTCCTATGTACAAAGGGATCAATTTCAAACTGGCTCGCAAATGTGTGAGTCTATCAGAGAGTGTCTGGTGAAAAGAGAATTTCCCACAAAGGAGAACAGAAATACTATGGTAAGCAAATAAAGACGGTAATCCAGAGTCTACGGACATATTAGAATGCCTTAGAGGCTTAGACAGTGATGGGAGGAAGGGGAAATCACAGATCCAGGGGGGACTATATTTGTTTTCCATAACTCAGTGCTGCACACTGGGTGACTTCAGTGACAGAAAGTTCTAGAGTCCAGAAGTCTGAGATCTGAGTTGGTTTCTTGTGAGGCCTCTCTCCTTGGCTTATAGATGACCTTCTTCTCCCTGTGCCGTTACATCATCTTTTCTCTATACGTGTTTGTATCCAAGGTTCCTCTTCCGATAGGAGTGCCATCATTAGGTCCACCCTAATCACCTCCTTTTAAAATAATCACCTCTTTAAAGCCCCTGGCCCCAAAGACAGTCACATTCTCAGGTACTATGGGTTAGGACTTCAGCATATGATTTTGAGGGGATACATTCAGACTATAATAGTGATCATACAATTTTTTTTTTTTTAGCAAAAATGTATTCGGCGTTTTTTTTTTTTTATGTGAAAAGGAAATGTTTAGAGAGACTTCTCTCCATTTATCCTTGCTATGTCAATAATATTATAAAGTATTGATACAGTAGTTTGAACTTTCCCAAGGTTTGGAATTCTGCCCTCACAATTAATTCCTGTAAAATGGGTACCATAGGCCAATACCTTTAGGGAATGCCTCATACCCATTCTTGGAATTTCTTGGTATACTACACTCTTGAAGTTCCTAAAAATTCTGCTTGAAATATAGTTTTTAAAACCTTTTTTAAAAAATCTAGCAGTTCATACCCATATTTATCTATGAACCACTCCTCCCCGACACTTTGTTAAAACTGGTAATTACTATTAGCAACCCATGGAACATATTTCAGGAAACTTTAGGAATTCATGTTATCTCTTTTCATAGAATCAGTTTATCCTATCTAATAAAAGAGTAATATGCCCACAGCCAATAAGGAGGGAATATGCAAATTGATGCAACAAAGATAGCAGTGCTGGCCTGAGCCATGGAGCTGGCCAGAGCAGCTGGGAGGCTTGGCTTCCTTGGTCACCCCAGCTGGCTCCTCGGCTGCCACCCAGACAAAGCATAGTAGCAGGGCCAAGGCAGAGGTGGTTAGGGGCGATCAGGCCAGGAGGGGAGGGCAGTTGGGGGCAATTAGGCTGGCAGGGGGGCAGTTGGGGGTGAGCAGGCCAGCA